ATTTGTGGAATGCTGTTTCTCTTCTACCATGAAGACTGATGCAAAGTATTTAGTAAACACTTCTGCCATTGCCTGGTTCCCTGTTTTTATTTCCCTAGCCTCATTCTGTAAAGGCCATATGTTCTATTTGGTCTCTTGCTCTCTTCCTTTTTATATACTTGGCATATAAGTTGCACGCCACCTCTGCGTTTCAGCCACACAATGCAATTCTGGTCAGACTCAATTTTTCAACCCAAAATTCTTTACTTAACGGGTACCTTTAATAGTAAGCTGTGTCACAGATGCATGGGAGTTTAAGGCACACCTGATCTTTGTTAGATATCAGTGTTATTTTAAAATGGTGACGATCCATATGAACAATTCACTTCACTTCACTTACTTTTCCTGCATATAAGGCTGCTCACCTTTTCTAGGGTCTTTTTGAGGCTCAAGAGTTGACTTGTATCCTGATAACTACAGTACAAGTCTGAGCAAGAAGACTACAAGTGTCCAAAGAGTTACTTGAAATAGAATCTACAAATTTGCTAGGCTTCCAGTGGCCTCTAGTGACAGCATTACCAAGATATCCAAATATTTTTAGATGCTACTAGCATTTGTCATTTATGAAGGTATTAAAAAGATAATGGGCCCATCAGGAAAGAAAACTACTCCATTTGAAAACAAAAGATGGGTTGTCAATGCCAGCTGCAATAAACTGTCGGGAGAGATGTGTAGAACTTTACTTGGCTTGTATTGCATGCTGGATACTTGCTGAGGAAGCTGTCGAATAAGGTTATAATCACAGGTCAGTACCCTGAAGTACTGTGGACATTTGTAACTTGTAATTCCAAAGTACTTTTAAAGAAGACTGATGCAACCAAAATGGCTATCTATAAATGAAGTGTAATGCCATCCCTGTATTTACCATGGTTAATCCACCTGACTACAGACCTTTTGAACGGAGGAAATCGGAGCATCCAGAGGAAACCCATGCAGACACAAGTAGAACGTGCGAACTCCAGTCGTCCTGGTTTCCTGGCACTGAGGCAGCAGTGTTAACCACTGAGCCACCGCGCCACTCATTGAAAGAATACATAAGAACAAGGGTTAAAAGATTTTGAGCTGCAAAGGTCACAGTCGAACAACTATTCCCTGGTTACCACTGTGTTGCAGGTAAAGAGATTCTCTCACTCGGTGCTAGAATCAATCTGCAAAACTCTTGGAATTGCCAATGTCATTACAGTGGCTACAATATTCAACTATTTGCTGTTCATGAGCAATTCAGAGACTGATCCACATGTATTTTTTAAACTTAGCTTTTTGGTCTTGTCTCTTATTTCTAATTCATGTTAGTATTGAGTTACTAATTCTTTTTGCATTTAGTAATTAATAAACTTTGTAAACTTAAAAGCCTGGTTAAATTGAATGCTTTTAAAAGATGGTCATTTGGATCTGGGAGAAAGTATCCAAAAAGGAAGATATTTTTAAATCAATCAGGATAAAGAATGAGAATTCCTCTTCACCATGGAATTGATGATTTCGCTTATCTCCTGAAACCACAAAAATTGGGAAACTCACCCAGAGTTTGAATGTGACAATAACATAGAAAGCTTGTTTAGATGGCAGAACTGGGTACTGAAGGAAATGATCAAAGCTGTTGCATTGCTTGCCATGAGCAAAGTTCCATGTGCTGATGCTATATTGCCTGAACTCAAGTATGACAAACCAGGTTCCTGCCGTATCTGGACAAGCATCCATCTCTGCTGGAGGAATGCCCTGGGATATAGAATTGTAATCCTGTACAAAAAAAAAACAATATTTTCAACGAGTGTTGCAGCGTCTCCTTGCTGAGAATCATGGGAAATGTATTTGCCCATGTTTCCCCTTCTCAGTCTGTAAATCCTGACTGCGTCCTCACAGATGCTTTTATGTAGTTTTGGAACTAAAAGTTCTACAATTAACAGAAGCTTCGTGGACAAACTAAGTGCAGTGCCATGTAGGAAGGCAACGGTCTGTTTCCTTCATAAATTTCACCAAGACATTCAACCATGAGTCTCAAACCATTGTTTTCCTAATATTCTAGGGGATGATAGATGAGCCAGCACTTATTGTCCATACCTTGTTGACCTTGAAGGTGAGGGTGAGCTGCTTTTTGAACCGCAATCTGTTTGGTGAAGGTAGACTGATAATGCCGTTATGGAGGGAGTTCAAGGATTTTGACCCAGTGACAGTGAATGAATGGTAATATAGATGGTTGTGGTTGGTTGTTTGGAAAAGTCTTGCGTTATGTAGTATATCTTACAGATGGTGCACACTACTACTCAGCAGTGGTGGGAATGCATGTTTGGTGGTGCCAGTCAACAGGGTGATTTATCCTGGATGGTATCAAGTTGCTTGTATAGGAACTGCAGTCATCCAGGCAGGTGGGCATTATTCCATCACACTCCTGTCTTGTATCCTGTACTTGGACAGGCCTAGGGAGTCAGAAGTTATTACTTGCGTGATTCCAACCTCTGATCTGTCTTTGTATTGGTTAGTCCAGTTCAGTTTCTGAAGTGCTGCTTGATAGGACTATTGATGACATCTTTTATAAATTTACTGATTTTTTTTTTTTTTTTTGATGGTAGACTAAGGTTGGTAATTGGCTGTTATATTTGTCCTTTTTTATTTGTGTATAGGACATGTCTGGCAATTTTACACATTGTCATGTAGATGTTAATGTTGCAACTGCACTGGAACAACTCAGCTAGAAGAGTGGCACCTTGAGAAATGTTTCCAAAATGTTGCCAAAGTTCATGAACATTACAGTGCCAGTGCCTCCAGCTGTTTCTTGATCTCGCAGAGAGCTGAATTGATTGAAGCCTGGCATCTGTGATACTCCTGGAGGTTGTTGACATAGATCATCCACTTGGCACTTCCAGCTGAAGGCTTTTACAAATGCATCAGCCATATCTTCCACATTGCTGTGTGTCCCCCATGATTGAGGATGTGGATATGGATATTTGTGGAGTTGCTACCTCCAGTGAGCAACCTAATTTTCGAACACCATTCACAATTGCATGTACAGGACTTTGAGCTGATTTGGTTTTGGAATATGTCACCTTTTATGCCTGTTTGGCATGCATGAATTCCTGCTTTGTAGCTTCACCAGATTGACACCTCAATTTTAAGTATACTTAGTGCTGCACCTGGCATGTTCTCCTCCCACTCTCCATTGAACCAGATTTGATCACCTGCCTTGATAAATGTAGTAGGGGATATGCCATGCCATATTAGATTGTGGTGGAGTACAGTTCTGCTGCTGCAGCCTCTCGTGGATTCCCAAGTCTTGATTTGCTAGACTTAATCAAAGTCTATCCCATTTAGCATAGTGATGGTGTCACAAAACATAAGGGAGGCTAGTCTCCATGTGTAGACAGGACTTCATCTGCGCAAGGACTGTATGGTGGTCACTGTTATCGATGCTGTCATGGACAGATACATTTGTGACTGGCAGATTGGTGAAGATATGGTCAAGTGTGTTTTTCCCCCTTTTTTTTGTCCTTTTTGCTGCCTGCTACACACCTAGTCCATCAGCTATGCCCTTTAGGACTTGACAAGGTGGTCTGTTTAAACTGCTGGTGAAAATTGATTGCCTGCTGAAGCTACTCCCATGTAACCACCTTTCTGTGCTAACCTGATGACATCGGTTAACAATGACAGGACAACATCAGGACCCTTGAAGATTGAATGTTGTGGGCCAGCATGGTGTATAACATTGATGTTCTTTGGCATAATCTTCTTTGCGGTCATATGCCTATTTGCATGCCAAAATAAAGAAATAGTTGTTCAACCTTGCATACCTGAGATCTAATCTAAAGCTGTGCCAGGTTCTCATAGTTTTGTTAAACCTAATGTCGACGGTCATGAGATCTGGACAATGTCAATGAGGCAGGTGGAAAAAGCTGAACATTTTCTTCCTTCCTTTGGCAGGACAAGATCACCAGTTCAGAGGTCCAGGAATGTGCTTGTTCCATCCGCATGTACTTGTTGTTATGCTAATGACAATTGTGTGTCTTGGCCAAATTCATCAAATGGATGGCTGCTATATACCCAAAACTCTTCTGTACCTTTTATATTGGCTACTAGGTTACAGTTTCATAAAATCTTGGGAATCCATTTCACTACTGCAAAGGCTCATGTCCTAGTGATATTATCCAGAGATCCAAATAAATGTTCTAGGGACTAGGATCAAATCTTACCATGACAGATGATGGAATTTGAATTCAGTAAAAATCTGGAATCAAGTCTAATGACCGTGGAACTGTTGTCAATTACCACTAAAGCCCACCTAGTTTGTTCATGTATTTTAAGGGGGGAAAGGCTGCTATTCTTATCTGGCTTTGGCCTCTTTGTGACTGCAGACACACTGCAATGCTGTTGACTCTTAACTGCAGTTAGGAATGGGCAATAAATGCTGGTCTAACCAACAATGACCACATTGTGTGAATTCTGCCTTTTTTCAAAACATTACATTATATTGAAATTCTGAAAAGAGAAGAGTGTAGATAGGAAGTTGATAACATGCAGAAACCTTAGAGGAGAGGGAAGTTAGATATTGGTGGTAGTTTGTAAAAGACTTGAGATTTTTTTAAAGAGAGGGGTGATGGCGCCAGTTGATTGAAAGGGTTGTTAGCTGAAGAGTGGGAGGGAGAGCTGTGCATACCAGGGAGAGCAGTTGATCAATAATTTGGTGGAAAAAGTCAGAATGTAGAAATTATCACAGAATCTGTGATGAATAGTATAGTTATATTTAAAGGGAGACTGGTGAAAGTGTACAAGAGAAAAGGATATAGGTTATATTGGTAAAGTTTATGAGGAAGGATAAAAGGGACGTCATGAGTAAGCGTAAATATTGATGTGCTAGTTGGGCAAAAAACTGAGTGCATTCTAATTATAATTAAATATATATAGTTGAAAATTTAATTTTGAGAGCATTTGTTAGTTTACGTGAATGCTGTACTGTCTTTTTTTCTTTCCAGTTCTTTTGATGAATACAGTTCCGAACTGAAGTCAGGGCGCTTGGAATGGAGTCCGGTCCACAAATCAGAAAAATTCTGGCGTGAAAATGCTGCAAGGTTGAATGAAAAGAACTATGAACTACTGAAGTGAGTTTTATTCAACTTTTTATTCTATTCAGATAAATTGACATTAATTTTCTACTTACTTACTATCTTGTCATTGAAGCTTAGTTACTACCTACCTACCTTTTCACATTTGTTTGCAGAAATTGGGTAGCCCAGTGATATTTAAAATGTTATTTATATTGGATTTTTTTCATGAATTTGCACTTCATTATTGAAATATAATATAATGTGAATTTAATTTTGCTTGTCTTGGTTAGTGAAGGCAGTAGACTGGAAATGTTTTAGTGCATAAGAGAATAAAGCAGAAACAAATTGTTCAGTCCTCTCAAGGTTTTGAAGCTGTTACAGAACAGTTGCCTTTCCTTGTGGCATTACCATAGCTAACACTGTTTCTCACATCAATGTCAAGTCTTCGTGCCAGAATTTTACCTAGATGCTATAGAAAGGGAAGCGGGAGAGGAGGGGGAGTGGTGTTTTTGATTAGGATAACGTTATGGCTGGACTTGGGAAGGATATTCTTGTGAGATAATCCAATAAAGTTTTATATGTTTGGAACTGAGAAATAAAGAAGGGATGATGACATTATGACTGTAGTGCAGACCCCACCCCCCACCAAATCAAGAAAACATTGTGTAGCAAATGTGTAAGGAGATCTCAGATAACTAAGAAAAATAGGGGTGTAATGGTAGGGAATTTGAATCGGGGCTGTCCTAGTGTTAAGAGCTTGAATGGGGAGTAATTTTTAAGCACGTACAAGAAGACTTCCTTCGGTGTGGATGTACCAATTAGAGAAGAAGCAGTACTTGACTTTGTGTTGGGAAATAAGGCAAGTGACAGAGGTGTCAGTGGGGAGCACTTTGGGGCAAGTGATCCTAATTCTGTTAGTTATGGAAGAGGATAGAACTGATCAAATTATAGTTATAAATTGGAGTAAGGACATTTTTGACATGATTAGACAGGAATTTCCAAAAATTGAATGGTTGGGAAGCAATTCTAAAGGTACGTTAAAGGCAAAAGAGTAACTAGAAGAGCATAGGGACCCTTTAAAGATCGACGTGGCCATCTATGTGTGGAACCACAAGAGATGGGTGCAATACTAAACTAATATTTCCTGTCAGTATTTACTGTGGAGAAAGATATGGAAGCTGGGGAACTCTGTGAAATAAATTGTGATGTCTTGAAAAGAGTTTCTATTACAGAAAAGGAGGTGTTGGAGGTCTTTAAAATGCATAAAGGTAGATAAATCCCTGGGATCTGATCAGGTATTTCCCAGAATTTTGTGGGAAGCTAGTGAAGAGATTACTAGGCTCTTTGCTGAGATATTTGTATCATCAACATTGAGTTTTTTGAAGAGGAGGCAAAGAAGATTGAAGGCAGAGCGATAGACATTCAGCATATGGACTTCAGCAAAGCGTTCAGCAAGGTTCTGCATGGTAAACTGGTTAGTAAGGTTAGATCACATGGGATCCACGGTAGCTAGCCAAGTGATACAAAATTGGCTTGAAGGTAGGAGATAGTTGGTAGTAGAGGGTTGTTTTTGGATTGGAGCCTTTGATGTGCAACACAGATGAGTGCTGGGTACACTGCTTTTCATCATGTTTTATTAATGATTTGGATGCGAATTTAGGAGGTATGGTTAATAAGCTTGCAGATGACACCAAAATAGGTTTTGTAGTGGACAGGTGAAGAAGATTATCTGAGTACAATGAGACCTTGATCAGATGGGCCAATGGGCTGAGGAGTGCCAGATGGAGCTTAATTTAGATAAATATGAACTGTTACATTTTTGTTAAAGCAAACCATGGCAGGTCTTGTACAGTTAGTGATGGGGCCCTGGGGAGTGTTGCCGAACAGAGACCTAGGAGTAAAAATTCTAGTTCTTTAAAAGTGGAGTTGCACATCGACAGGATGGTGAAGAAGGCATTGGGCACACTTGCCTTCATTGGTCAGGGCATTTAGTATAGGATTTGAGACTTCATGTTGAGGCTGTACAGGATGTTGTTGAGGCCACTTTTAGAATGCAGTGTACAATCCTGGTCGCCATCCTATAGGAAGGATGTTATTAAACTTGAGAGGGTGCAGTAAAAACTTACAAGGATATTGCCAGGACTGGAGGGCTGGAGTTATAAGGCAATGCCGAATAGGCTGGGACTTTTTGTCTTGCAGTGTCAGAGGCCGAGGGGTGACCTTATAGAGGTTTGTAAATGATGACAGCGTGGAGAGGGTGAGTAGCCAAAATCTTTTAGGGTGGGGAGTCCAAAACTAAAGGGCGTAGGTTTAAGGTGAGAGGGGAAAGATATAAAAGGGATATAAGGGGCAATTTTTTTCCACCCAGAAGGTGTATGGAACATGCTGCCAGAGGTAGTGGTGGAGGCGGGTTCAATTACATCATTTTAAAAGGCATCTGGATGTGTATATGAATAGGAAGGGTTTAGAGGGAGATGGGCAATATGGGACTAGGTCAGACTGGAATGTCCGGTTAGCACTGAGGAGTTGGACTGAAGGGTCTGTTTTCATGCTGTGTGACTCCGGACTCTAAATATATGCTGATCTGATTAGATTATATTTTGACTTCCTTGCAAAGGATTTTGACCAGGCTTTTAGAAGTCTCTGATGACCCTCAGGTGTTGGCAGTTGCTGCACATGATATTGGTGAATATGTGCGCCACTACCCTCGGGGAAAACGGTAAGCTCTCACAGTAAATACAGTCAACATAAAGAATTACATACCATGCTTTCTGAATATTTAATGTGAAAGTGTAAAAATCCTTTCTTTAGAAATTGTCATTACTACTGGTCAGAACCTCTAAATATTGTGGAAATTTTAACATGCAATTCCAAGATGTACCGGCTGCCTTTTCAAAAAATGCATCAGAAACTGGTTTTGGTGTAAATTAAGTGATTGTCTGGAGAGTTACAGGTGTTTTGATTATACAAGCACTAAGCAAATGTCTCCAAGGCACGACGTGTTAACCCCTAAAGGAGGAGGCTTTACCCCTATGACATGCACTTCTGGAAAGCCATAATACGACTTAAAGCAGTTGTACTCAAGTAAAGAGATAACAAGGTGTAGAGCTGGATAAACACAGCAGGCCAAGCAGCATCAGAGGAGCAGGACGGCTGACGTTTCGGGCCTGGAC